AAAAATATTATTATATATTCTTTATTATTTATGGGAAGCATGAGCCTAATTAAGTTTGTTTATGATTAATAGATGGTATAATACAAGGAAATCCGGTGGAATATTGTGAAACATGACTAAATAAACACTCCGAAATCCTTAAACTGTACGAAACTTTTATAAAAATGCGTTTCGATATGTAGTCTGTCATCCTCAGAGTCTCTATCTTGACTGTTGAGACGCGTTTTAGTTTCATAAACTTTTTTTCGGAATTTTGACGCTTTTCAGTGTATAAAAATACAGTAAATTTCAAAATGGCCTTATGTGTTTAAGATATATTTATTTATTTTTTTAGATTACTGTAGTGCTATAATGTACATAGTTACAGGCTTTGCAAATTTTGTAATTGTTCGGTAAAGATTAGTAAATTATTAAATTAGCTGTGAAAATCTGTATTTGTTAAAATCGTTTTTCATTAATTTTAATCTGAATAAAAACGTGAAGTATGAAATTTCAACAGTTGTTCACGAAATTTCTTGTGAAAATTGTTTTGCCCTAGCTTGAAGAAGCCAAATCAAATAAACAACTTTGTGATAATTGAATATGTAGTAATACTTTTTGAATTTCAAACTACTCTAATGTTTCATGTTTTGCTGTAAGAGTGCAGCAGCAATCAAGAACCGCGACAGTGTTACCTATCACACAGAGCCTAAAGCTCTAAAGCTTCGAGACTAGCGAGTAGGAAACTGTAGATATTCATGAGGAAATTAACTAATAACTCTGTTCGATAAAAGAGGCCCCACGTTGTCTATATTTCCCGATTAAACAAATAGGACACGTTGGAGATAATTCTGTCTTCCACATATCGATTAATTTTGTGATATTTGTTTAACACTCACAATATCTTCTTTGTAAATAAATATTTCGTTATTTAATGGAAATATATTTGATTGAGTTTTATTTCTTTGTACAAACATGTAACCAATAAAAGTTTAAGTACTTGATAAGAGACTAGTCAGATTTTTCCTTACTTTACAGTCAGTAGTTAAATGCTAGAGGTTTGAACAGGTGTAATAGCAATAATTCATATCCAATATTTTGTTGATATTATTAATTATCATTGACTAATTTATATTTGATATGGCCGATGCCAATTTCCAGTGTGTTCCAATTATTTCAGTATCCAATGAATCTCGTGATCCATTTGCAAAATCAAAAAAATTATTTCTCACTAAGTTTAATGATATTCCTCAGTTTTACGTTCGCGTACCTGGTAGGTATGTATTTGTTTTTATATCTCTTAATGTTTCCCAATAATAATAATAATAATAGTAAATATTATTATTATAGCAGATGTAAGAAGTAACATTTTCTTACACTTCAGTTAATCCAGTGGCGTAACTTATATTCAACGCTGTGCAAGTTTATTAGTAAATAAAATCTAATATGAGAAAGTGCCTAGTCAATAAAAATTACGTAAAGAATGTCTATATTGTTAAAACCAAAAGGTATTAAAAAAAAATGCTTTGTTTATTGACAATTTTATTTTAAAGTAAATGCTCGCAATGGCCATCATCATAATCATCATAAAGTTATTATTCTAAGACTGGTGTTCGTTTTCTCAGAAACGAACTTATTGAAGCAATTATAAAACTTTTATAATTTTAGTCCATTAATTTCTATTTCGCTGTCTTAAACATTCGAATTATTAGTCAATCTTATCTATTTTTAGTTAGTTAGTTTTTGTTTCATCATAAGTTTCCACGGTAGTTTAAGTTTTGTATTTATTTGTATATATCCGTTTTTTAAGTGAATTAAATTCTTTAAACCATTTAGAAGAGTTAATTCATTTTAATGTGGTACAGCAGTACACCGGAAGAGCTATCAATCACGTGCTTTTCCTTACAACTGGTAGGACGCGCACCTCTACATTTCCCTATTCTGAGTTAATCTTCACATTTTCCTAAAAGTAGAACATACCACACCCTTAACTATTTGTGTGCAGTGATCTAATCTAGGTCTTCGTCTCCTCTTAACTCTTGATTCTTCTAATCTCACTTATTTTTTACCTTTTTCACTTTGCTCCCGCCCCAATCATCTTCTATCTATACCAGCAATACCTAAAAGGTGACTGGAAAGGACCCCTCTCCCTATCCTCCAGCCTTGCACTATAGTCTGCGTAAGTCAAAAAAACTGCCTGATCATCAACATTAGTAGTTTGCGGGAATCAAATACACAAAGGGTTTCTTTTTTTACCTTTTGGTTTAAACAGTAGTATAAACATTCTTAGACATTAATCCAATCATTCTTAACATTAATACTAACAGGAAAACTCAAAACATGAAGAATCCTCTATACGTTTTTGATACTCTAATATCGGGAAACACTAATGGTGTTGAAAACCTGAAAGGACTTTTATAGATTTTTCATTTTTGTTTTCAGTAAAACACATACGCGAATATATTATAACGACTACAACGGTTATTTTGATATTTCATAAGAAATCTTTGGTTTTATTTTTATTTAGGCACATTGCACACATTTTATTACTAAAGGCAAAGCATTTCAGGCTCTTGACGTTAATTTCAGTTTCTCTTTCCAGGGTAAATTTAATTGGAGAACATATCGATTATTGCGGTTATGGGGTTTGTCCGATGGCATTAAAGCAAGATATTGTTTTAGCTGTATCTGCAATACAAACCGAAAAGAAACTATTTCTCTTTAATGTAGATGCTAAATACCCTAGTTTTGAGTGCGACATAGAGAATTTTGAGTACGTTTTTTCCATTAAGACATTTTCCTATATACATATATATCGCATAGCCGAACCCAATACATTTCGCCAAACATAACTCTTGTTAAACTTTTTAAAATGACGAAGTACCTATACTGATAATAATATGCCGATTAATTACAGTAAAGAGAATTAAAACCATGATGCAGGTAAAGAAAAATGCTTCATTCAAAATTTGCTACACTTTTTTTATCTACTTAGGGGCTGAATTTCAAAATATCCTTCCTTATTCTTTATATAAATCGAAAAAGGAAGCCTGTGGGAAAATTTGAGTTTTCTTTCTTTAGTTAGGACTTTTTATACATATCGTAGATTACTTTATTTTACCACAGTTTCCAGTAAATATTACCTACAAATGGTCTTCTATAAATCAGTTAACGCAAATTTCGTGTCCTTTGAAGTCTTTTCTTTTGTCAAAGGTATTAAAATCAAATTATCAATGGTTCCTTGCCTCTGGAGAAACAACCCACATCCTGTAAACTTAGTTGTTGATTATTTTTTGTTAATTATTATCATTCTTTTAAATTAGAATCTTTTTGTGATTTAAATACACTAATAAATGGAAGTGACTTATGGTGAGTAATATTAATGGGGTAAGGAAGGGTTAGAAAGGGATAGTTGGCTCCTTAATTTTTACTCAAAAATGTTTATATCGCTAAAAATTTTACATACAAGTTGACTCACTTTAAATTGAAAACTATTTTGTCTCGTGTTAAAATTCATAATGTTCGTTTAGTAGATTCCATAGACAAAATGGCTGATTATGATTAATAAGCAATCTTTGCAATGTGTAATTCATTGTTCATTATTTAATCAAACGTTTCAAGGATTAATGTTAACGGATCGCCAACCTGGTATCAATACTTTTTATGTGGTGTAAAAGGCATTTTGGAAACTTTACCAACCGAAACACCTCCAAGAGGTGCACAAATCGTAGTCGATGGTAATGTGCCTCAAAGTGCTGGTCTGTCAAGTAGTAGCGCATTAGTAAGTGCAGCCGCATTAGCAATTGCTGCAGTTTATGATGTACGTATGTTATTTATCTATATGAGTCTTCTTTTTACTAGAAGTGACCAAAAATTGTCCTGTTAAATTATATGTTTTTTATATGGAATGGAAGTGGGAGGCTGATCATCAGTCTATGGTGTGATCGAAAATTTCAATTAAAACTTGTTTGATATCCTAATAGCATGATCCTTTGGTAACGCCATTTAGTCGTCCGTCTATCAGAGGCAGTTAACTTCTAAACGAAGCGAAATTATCATCTAAGACTTGAAGCCTTGATTCAGAAATGAAAATTATATTTGAATTTGTCATAATCATCAGCATCGTGAAGGTCTTCAGCGCAAAAACTAGTTGGACTCTCCACTTCCTATCTAGAGCCAATCTTTGCATTTCTCGAAAACTAGAGCATCATCTCTAAGTATCTTCGAATAGTAACCTAATCTATCCCTCTTTGACATGTTTCTGCTATGATTTCTGAAAAGGTGACATACCAATCTACACCATCTATTTCTTATTGATTTCCATAGGCGCCGTTTGTCATTCAAGATCCATTTATAACTTCACATTTCAAACATCTTTTTAACAATCTATTGCTTTCCGCCGCGCTCAACTTTTTTCAAATTTCTAATCATTCGCGAGCAGAGAAGTGATTCCTACTTTGCTAAGGGCGATAGTATTATTCTTTGTTTTATATGCCTACGATTTTTTCCAAAATCGGCAATTTCTTTTACATTCTCATCTCCAATTATTATTTTAGCGTTTAGCCTACATTTACTTCCCAAAGTTTCCATTAATGACTTTCTTAAAAATTGAATGCAATTAAATATTTATATTTTACTATGCCCATGACTTTTGACAAATTTGTTAATTTACAACTTGAACTGTTGTGTGCTGTGGATCTAGATATTTGATAATAAACTGTAAGAAAGTGCTAAATACAAATAAGGCATTATATATTTAAGAAATTCCCGACAATTAATTAACGTTTTGTAGTTAAAAATTCCCAAGGAAAAGCTAGCTAATTTATGTGCTGCCTCTGAACGTTATATTGGTACTCAGGGCGGTGGAATGGACCAAGCCATTGCATTTCTTGCTTCGGAAGGTAGGCGTTTGGAATTTTGCAATTGGTAACTAATTCCATTTTAAATAATAGACAAAATGCCTAATATATTTCAATAGGTTAGATTGAAGTTACAGATAGGTATTTCATAAGTAGCACGGTTTGTTTATTAATAAATTCATTCATGCATTGCATTATTTTTTCCATAATAATTGTAAGAGGAATATTGCTCTACGCTTAACGTATAATTTCATAAATGCTTAACTTTATTTTCTGTACCTACCCGCCTCAAATTTCTATATATCAATGACGATGCGGTAGGGATCTTTCCATAAGAAATTAATATCTTTAGAAACGTACTTCACGTAAAAATTTATGATTATTTAACTTTTAAGGTTGTGCAAAGTATATAGAGTTTTGTCCACTCCGAACTACAGATATAATGCTACCACGTGAAGCAGTTTTTGTCATTGCTCATAGTTTAGTTGAACTGAATAAAGCTGCAACATCCGATTTTAATTGTAGAGTGGTCGAATGCCGCCTTGCTGCTCAGGTTTGTGTACATTCATCATCTTACTCCACTCCTTCCTATCCTGAGCTAATCTTCGCTTTCCCCCCAAAAGTAGAACAACCTACATCCTTAACTATTTGCGAACAGTAATCTAATCTAGGTCTACCTCTACTCCCTCTAACCAACCTTTCTCGCCTATTTCTTATTGACTTCTATAGAGTCCTTTGTTCCCCTATTATTTTCTCTGTTTATTCTAAACCCAAATTGATCTTCCCCTAATAGCTCTTCCGCTCTTTTTTCCATCCTCCTTTGTACAATTCTAGTTAAGATTTTTGACGCATGGAAAGTTAAGGTAATTGTTCTAAATGTCTCGCACCTATCCGCCCTCTCTTTTGAGGTATAGTTACTACCACGTTCCGTTTATAATCCTCTGGGACATTCCCCGTCTCGTAAATGTGACTAACTAGCTTAAACATACGATCTCTAACCCAGAGCCGGGCAAACTCGGATCTTTTGCATCCCGAGTGATCCTCAAGGTTAACCAAGTAGCTCCTCATTGCTCCTGTGAGTGCGAGTGAGATGATTCTTTCCTTTTCTTATCCCTTCCATTTCGTAGATGAGTCCCCTCTTCCATAGCCAAACCCAATAGTTTTGCGAACGTAGTAACGAAAATTTTCGTAGGTATTATTTAAGTTGCGAGAGTGGCTTCGCTCGTCTACGGGATGAAGAGGCTTGATATGGGAGTGGAAGGGAGAAGAAAAAGACAAAACAAAATTATTCATTACTGCTTACTCTCTCATACTCATTGAAGGGTATGGAGTGACTCAAACTAATCTCATGTAGCGGCTCCTGCGAAGTTAATGTTTGCCCGGCTCTGCTCTAACCCCTTGTCCTGCATGTTTTAGAATTTCCGCCTGTAACCCATTATACCTGACGCTTTATTATTCTTTAAGTTTTTTGATGCTACATCGAACTTTTCTCTCATTATGGGATAACCTAGCTCACCTATTTCCACACTATCTTCCTTTTCTAATGAATCTCCTAACTCATGACCTGCGTATAGGTTTTCTAAATATTCTTTCCACTTATCTGTCTTTTCCACATTTTCTATCAAAACGACCCCTGCCTCGTTTCTTATATTATTGCTACTGTACCTTACATTCCTATTACTATAATTATAGAAGGGTGTACTTTTATTATTTGTAGTACATTGTACATTTACAAAATTTAACAGCAATCATTCAGTTTTATGATATACTCACGGAGAGAAAAATTTTAGTAAAATTGCCATGCTAAGACGGTAAAAGTTTTCTAGGCTTTCTAGTAAACTTTATAAGGTTCTCTTAGAAACATTATTGTAAAATTTTGTCAATACATATTTCTTGCACTCACTTTATTGTGACGAACATGGTAAGCTTCCTAAAATTTCTTTGTAATTATAGTTGCTAGGTAAAATCCAAGGTCTCACCTGGCGAGAGGTTCGTACTTTGGGCGATGTACAAAAGCAACTGGAATTGACTCTCTCTGATATGGTAACATTAGTAAAAAACTCATTCCACGAGCATCCTTACAGCAAAGAAGAAATAGCCCAAACTTTGGGTGTAACTATTGACGATTTAGTCGACAATTCTTTAACGCTCAATACGTCGCACGTAAATGACTTTAAATTAAGGCACAGGGCTTTGCACGTTTATGAAGGTAATTACGTAAGCTTTTTGGACCGGTTAATTTGTTCATATTAACACAAAAGGTAAAAACTTGCTAATGTGTGTAGTAGCAAATTTTAAAGCTAGTCGTATATTATGTAACCGGTTTCGTATCAGGAGAGGAAATTTTGGGATCTTACTTTAGTATCATGTCAGCAATTGGGCATGTTACACGTAGCAAAAACATTAGAAAAGCCGCGTAAGTCGCAGTTGCATTTTTAAAAAAAGAAAATCAAAGCTCCCTAGAAACTTTTTTGAAAAAAGGTAGACGCTAAACATATTAAAAATTATTTTTAAGACCGACTTATTGCTATAATAAAAAAATAAGAAAAATGCAGTTTATAACAGCCTTAGCGTTTTGATGGTCCTTCTGTTGTGAAATTGTTAATTTTGCGATCCTGTTTGTTCATAATTGATGATGATTTGACGTTTCGTTACTTATCATGAAAATCAGTACCGATCACGACAAAGCAGTCTGAAAAGAAAAACGTTTTCCCAATAATAAAGCTTATTTAATACTTTCCGGTAAAAAAGATTGAAGGGTATAATCTCTTTATTTTATTAGTTTTATTAAATTAAGATAAATGCGTTCAATTAATGCCAAGCATTTTTTGTTATTACAGAAGCAATTCGGGTGCAAAAGTTTTGTGATATTTGTAATAACAAGGATAAGGATTCCTTAGTTAAACTGGGACAACTGATGAGCGAGAGTCACGAGAGTTTGAAGAATCTGTATGAGTGTAGCCATCCTAAGTTGAATAAATTGGTTAATCTGGTTAAAGATGTTTGTTTCGGGGCACGATTAACTGGAGCAGGCTGGGGTGGATGTGTAGTAGCCTTACTAACTTCAGAAAATGTTCAAAAATTTATGGACTTATTAAAAAATGAGTATTACAAAGATCTTTTGAGGAATAATGCCAAACCCTGGGATGAAGTTATATTTGCAACTTCACCTCATTCTGGGGCTACCATTTATAAAGATTGATATTAAAAAATATACTTATATTTTGTATGGTAATAAGTCAAATAAAAATAATTTTTGATAAATTACTTATATTTTTATAAAGTACCTACCTATAAGTAACCCTGATGAAACCAAGAGAATCTTCTATTTAGTATTTAGGTACTTAACACAAATTTTAGATTTTCCATACTATAAATTATTTTTTATACAAAATACCTAAGAAGTGACTGATTTCTTTACAATCAGAAACAGAAGTATTTACTATAAGTGTCATACATATGATGTTGAAATATTTATGGTGCTATTAACCACTAAGATCCGATAGACCCAAAAGGTATACAAACATTCCAAGTATATCAATGTATAACATCACTACTGCTGGCATATAATCTTCTTCACTGATTTGATATCTACGGCCGCCCATAATAAGTTGTATGTCGTACATCAAATACTGAAATCGAAGTGAAATTAGTAGAAGAAGAAACCAACATGTCTCTCATGCGCAGTTACTTACCACGGAAAAAAGCGCTACTCCAAGGCCACAGTAGATGATATACATAGCTACCAATCCTGTTAGCCAATAAACTAAGAAAAAAATAAAACCAGCAAAAGAGAACGCTATCGAAGCTATAAAAAGAATAAAGCCGCAACCTGTCACGTCCCACTAAAAGAGAAAACAATATTTTAATTAAGAAATATTTTAATTTCATTTCTTTGAGGGTTCGGTTTGGTTTTAGTCTTGCTAGAATAATGACAGCTATGGTCTTGTATCGCTGATGATGAGTTTTAAGTAGCTGGTGGGAGTAGGGTTGCCACCCGTACTTTATTATAAAGTATTGTACTGTATTTCGACTGTGCGTACGTTACATTTTACGCAAAAATACTTTATTTAAGGCCTTAAGTAAACATCGTAATTTTGTAAGCGATTATTCGAAATTCAGAGTATTTTTACATCAATAATATTGCACAAAACAATATTTTTGAGAATGTTTCTAAGTACGAAACAACCTGATTTCCCAAATCTGTTCAAGGTAGTGTCAGTTTTGCTGTCCGTTCCGGCCACTTCAGCATTTACAGAAAGAGTATTCTCTGTTATGAACGCAAAGTGGCGGGACGACAGGAATAAAGCTTCATTAAAACTAATTAATTTTCGTTTACTTAAATCTTTGTTTGCAATGTTTAGAGGCTATTAATGTATTTAAGAGCGACAGCAATTTTGTTACTGGCTGCTAGGTGTAACAAAAAATATGTTTTTAAAAACAAAAAATAAAATACTTTATTTTTATGCCGAGTACTTTTCTTTTGAACCATTTAGTCGAGAAATACTTTATGTAAAGCCTGAAAAGGTGGCAACCCTAGGTGGGAGTGAAAACACTTTTTCTTAAGGAAGGGATCGAAATAAGAAGTATTAGGTACTGCATCATCATCATCATAAGGTCGTCAGTCTTAAGAGTGGTTATCCTGAGCTAATCTTCACATTTCCCTAAAACTAGAACGACCCACATTCTTAACTACCATGTTCGGTGACAGTGTGCATCCCTGTCTGACTCCCTTCCTAATATTTACTTCTCTACTTTTGCAGCCCCAGCTCTATAACCGCCTGTTGCTCTTTATACAAACTAAGTATCACTCTATCCCTGTAACTCATCCCTACATTTTTATGTATATTTCACGTCTGGTCCCATTTAACAGTGTTAGAAGATTTTTATAAATCTACATAGTAAAAAAACATTAGGGAAATTCAAATTACCCTCGTCTGTATGGCGAATAAACTGATAATAGCCACAATCAAGACAGTAAGTCCTGCAGCCATAAGCACGGCGTGTTCTGAATGAAGTGCTGCAAGTATTCCACAACTTACCGTATAAAAAAGTACCTAAAACAAAAAAGGTAGGTATACATACATGAACTGAATATATTCAAGTTAAAGTGAAAGTAATTGTGATTTTGATGTCATTTTAGATGTAACTGCAATGTGCCTGACTGTATCTATATTCATACATATACTTTGTATCACGTGAAGTTGCGGCTCAGGCAATAAAACTGACCGAGCGGCATGGCCTAGAGGTCTAGACCATTGCTTAGCATTCGGGAGGACGCCGGTTCGATTCCGGATCCGTCCAAGTTTTTCTGTGGTTTCCTTGGATCACTTAGGCAAATGCTGAGGCAGTAATATTCCATAGATAATTTTTCATTCTCTTCTGTCTTCATTTCGTCCGTCTCGTCTTTCTCACCCGAACCACCACCCACCCATTCCCACGATTCCTGAAAGCAGGCTGAAGAGGGCCTTCCGCCCTACCTTCCGCCGTAGTCCGGAGGGACTGCCCGCCCACTAGCATTACTGGCTGGTGGGAATGAAACACCCAAAAGTTTTTTTTTGCAATAAAACTGTCAAGAAGTGACCGCCCTTGTTTGCGCCTAGCTAGAATTACAATATTATGACGTCATTCAAACGAAACACGTTTTGTAATCTGTTAACCACTTGTGCCTTCGAATATCAGCTGAACAGACAGACTCACTAAGGACTATTGTCCTTTAAAATTGCCACTAAATAAAGTTTGAACCGTTTTCTTGTTTGGTGCAGATGTTGGTCATTCGACAAAATAAGTTTATAAATATTTTGCCTGAGCCGCCAGATTACGTGATACGAACTTCAGATGGCGACACACTGTCACAATCGTGATATATTCGATTGTATCTAATAGTACTTACAAATAGTGCCAAAACGAAAAGGTTAGAGGGGAATGATCGGGCGAGAGAGGGGACACAGGATACAAGACACATTAGAAACACTGCAAATCCTCTGAAATATAATATTTTTTCAGAAATAACTTAAAACAACTACGTAATAACAAAATGCAAAAGGGCTACATATAAAGGATACAGTGAAATTTATATGTTTTTATATTATTTACTACATACGTGCTTTACATCAATAAAAAAATATATTCTTTGAATACAACAGGAAATTAAGGTCAAAGATGTCACCTCCCACAAAAGTTTGGGTGCATTATTACGTACATAAAGTAAAACAATAAAAAGATAATCAAGAGAATATCAGTTCCGATGTATGCTTTGTTGCTAAATGCGAATCTAAGTATTTTGACCCAATTTTTTTACGAAAACAAAATCAGTATTATAGCATTTGAAAAGAAACATCAGTCAGAGTAATAACTTGTCCCCAAAGTTGGTTTTCAAATCAAACAAGCCATTTTATTAATTTTGGCATCAATCGAATACTGGGGTTACGGTATTTTAAACCCTTCATACGCTACAGTAACTCTGAGATTATCTTTGTTCAGCGATAGATAATACTCTCTAGAAATGACTCATTTTTGGTTATTTTGCGACTAATAAGATATCTCATAATTTTGATATGCTTTAGGTAATTCTACAAGCAATATGGAATTCAGAATAGTATATAATAATTATTTAGCTAGTTAAAAGCCGAAATGTAGGCCCTATTCCAATAATTGTTTTTGTTTCTAAAGCAACTAACAGAACGATTCCTAAAATTATCATGTTTTTTCTTAATTTCTCTTTAAAGATATGATTCTTCGGTAATTTAGGATGCCACAATCTACTTACGTGTGTACTTTTGGATAACAGTAGTCATTATACTTACAGCGTTGTATACATTAAAATAATAGATACCCCTATATTCTCCCTGAAGTACATTCTTACGGGTTGTCTGTAATAAAAAAATAACTGAACATATTGAAATTATGTCGAATTACACAAGCTTACGCAAATGCAAATACGGCGATAAAGGCTGTTGTAAATGCCAGACAAATAAACAGGAGTGCAAAGACTTTACGGATAAATTCATGCCGAGTGTACTTATCATCAAACGAAGATAGTCCCTAAAAAATTAACGCAGCATTTGAATATAGTTTATATTCGACTACGTAGAAAAATTTGTCTGAACATGATAAGGATGTAAGACATAAAGATCAGCGAATACCGAGGAATTGATCACGAATATGTAGTGTGATGTTTTCCTGACCAGGATTGTTTGATATGAAGCTGATTAGAAATACCTTGTGTAGAATTAATAATGTTTTATTTCCGACAACTATTTCCTGATTTGTAACCGATCTATGACATCAGTGTTTAGAATATAATTAGAGGGATAAGAGAGGGAAGATGTAATAAAAGGGATAAAGGCACTAAGAAGAAGAAAAGCTGTGGTGTTGAATGGGATATTAGGGGAGGTATGAAGATATGCCAAGGATATTATAAGAGAGAAATTATATGAAATAATGGTAAAAATATGGGAGGGCAATGGATGTGTGGGGAGACTGACAGAGGGGAATTTATGGAACGAAATATGAAGGAAGAAGGTAATGGAAATAGGGATAAAATGTAGATATGATAGAGAGCGGGGAGGAGCGTTAAAGATTTTAAAAATTAAACAGGAACAGATGAGAGAGTGGTAAGAGAAGAGAACAAAGGTAGGAGAAATGGTAAGGAAAAGATGCAGGGAGATAATAAAAGGAGAGGATTTAAGGAAAATAGGGAGGGAAATAAGTGTAAAAGAAAAATTAAGGACAGGGAATGATTGTAGAGGATGTAGATATTTGAAAAAGAGAAAGAAATACTATGCAGGATTTGTGAAAGGGAGAAAGAGAGCCCGAAGTATGTATTAGGAAGATGTGAGAGTGGTGGAACGCTGGAAAAATGGTACTACGAGTTAATAAAAGTGGATGGAGGGGGCTGAGCCAACTAAAGAGAACTTTAAGGAACAGGAAGGCGGAATAGGAAATAGGATAGGGATTAAGTGGGGGAAAAGGGGAAAGTAGAAATAGGAATGATTGTTTGTTTTTTGTTTGTTTCTATATTTTTAATTTTGTGAAATGTTTTGGTAAAAGGATTAAGTTTATCGATGATGTTTTCTTCCGGGTTTTTTGGCCGTGGTCCGTGGAATCTTGCTTTTCCAGACGTTTAGCCGTTCTTTGCTGACGGCATCTTCAGTAACTGATGAGATCAGTTACGACTCAGCACCTGCCCAGTCACCACTGAAGATGCCATCAGCAAAGAACGGCGAAACGTCTGGAAAAGCAAGATTCCACGGACCACGGCCAAAAAGCCCGGAAGAAAACACAGCATCTATAGACGTCGGCAGTGAAAGCCTAAGACCTATAGGATTAGTTTAAAATATAAGTGAAGTAGTTATTACATATGTTTGTATGATTCGTAACTTTTAGTTAAATAAACTACTACTTTATAATTAGAACATTGAATCGTTTGCAGACTTTCTGGATACCCTGTATACATATCTATATAGACTTATCAACTGCTAAAATTGTAAACTAATGCTTACCGATTCTAGTTGGATTGGTGCTGCCATGCAGTACGCCTTCAGTCGCTGTTGAAAAGTTAAATCTGCCGGAAAGTCAATGTTTCTATTTAGGAGCTGTTTTTCCTTATTTAATATCCCACCGTCCGCATTTTCTATAGTCACTGACTGACGCTTCAACTGAAGCGATTCCGAAGAAAATTGCTTACTATTTATTAGTGATTGCAATGCCAGGAAGTAATTAATATTCGGCTGTGCCTTCTTCTGGAGTTCTTTAATTGTTTCATAGTCCGCTGTGAATGTTAGTAAATCAATTTGGCTGTGACGGCCTTCATTTATGTCTCTTCTTTGTACATCATTTTGTTGGCTACTTTGAGGTTCTTCGCAGATATCTTGTGAATCTATATCAATTGTAATTGCTATATGATCGACATCTTCAATTACTCTACGACTCTCTGGCTTCCAGTTGGTACTTTTTTCATTAGTGTGCATGGTATCATGTTTGCTATCTTGTTCATCTTCCATTTGAGAAGAAGTTTGTTTGTCATCCATTTATAGTTTTATCTCATAGCATAAGTGACATTTGCTAAATTCGTTCATAACATTTATAAATTAGCAAAGGCTACATCGATTTTTTTAAAATATTGAAATATCTTTTTACTTGGAACAATATATTTATACAAGTCAAACATTCAACATTTATTTAAAAGAAGTTTTACAAGAACATACATGTTCAGATGCTCATGAAAGAAACACCATTTATTACTAAGTTATTGTTATACCTACTTAATTCTTAAGTGAATAAATTATGGATCAAACTATGGGATGACTTATCAAATCATTTATTTTACAGTGGATTACATTAGTGTTCTTTGATGTACCATTTAATTACGTATGTACGCCCCCTTCGCCTTGCAAAAAGTCCGGTCATTTCGGTTTTAACTGAAAAAGAAACCAATGTTAAAAAAACATCTAAATTCCATGCTTTTATATACTCTCTTTAAAAAATTAAATTAAATAGCACAGCTTTTTGGTCCATTGAAACTTAATCAACTAAATGTTAACGGGCAGATCATCTGGCACGATGTATATGGTAGTGACTTGCGTATCATCAGATTGTGTAGGAGTAGTTGTTGCAGTCCCATCAGAACTACTTGAATGTCGCGAATTAGATTTCTCCAATGGCCAGTGAGTAGCCTTCGGACTTTCGGGGCGTTCATCCACACCTAATGATATATCTGCTATTATTCCACTTTCTAAAATGCAAAGGGATTAGTTAAGCGATGTAATGGATATTAAAATCGATTTCATCGTTGATATGGGCTCTGATCACAACGTTCAAAACTGGAATGAGGACATAATATATGTCGAGAGTTTGTCAGAATTTTTCTGAACGTTTTGGTATTTGGATTTCGCTTGTTGGATGGATAGATAAACCGTTTTGTTTGTACGTTATGATAAGAGTTTGTGTGGTGACCAGATGGGTTTGTGAATGCGTACCTACGGAGCATTGACTGTTCAGTGTGCCAGATCTATGAAAAGCTTTTGGACTATCGCACGAAGCAGAGTCAAAGCTTAGGTTAGCAACTGTCGCAGTGTTTTGTACGTTTCCGCCGGAAGTCGAACTTCCGGAGCTCGTGCTGCTCGACGATATACTCGACATTGAAATGATCGAATGAGGTCTCTTTATGTAAGTACACTGCTTTCATTATTATCAATATTATTTTATTGATATTTTGGTGGTATTTTAATTAATGTTAATATTAAAACTAACTATGGTGATGTTGTAATGAAACATGTTTAATATTTGAGAATCAAACATCTACTGTTTCGATTCTCAAATAATTACAGTAAAATTGCTGGGTGCATATAATGAAAGGTAACATTAAATTTTGGTTTAATATTCCTATTGCTTAGTATTTATAAAGGTTTTATAAAATGTCATTATATACTTACAGCATTGTAGATATTAAGATTATAGATAACGTACGATGGTCTCTGAAATACTGTGCTATGGGTGATCTGAAACGAAGGTGCGTTTAAAAATATTAGAACTACCAGTGAAGTGTACAACCTTACACAAAAGCAAATATGGCAATTCCCCCTACTGTAACACAGTAAAGAATAAACAAGAATAAAAATACTTGCCGCATAAAAGCATGCCGAGTGTCCACAGGTTGAAAAGAATCCTCAGTAGTTTCCTAAAAAAATATTACAAAAGTAAACATTGAATATATATTCAAAGTAGATTAATGTGTACGGGTGCGATACATAGACGGTGGGCGCGGCGGAAAAGAAAAGGTTAGAAGCGTTACAGCCGAACGAAAAAAAAAACTTTTGGGTGTTCCATTCCCACCAGTCACTCTAATGCTGGTGGGCGGGCAGTCCCTCCGGGCTACGCCGGAAGGTAGGGCGGAAGGCCCTCTTCAGCCTCCTTTCAGGAATCGTGGGAATCGGTGGGTGGTGGTTCGGGTGAGAAAGATGAGACGGACGAAATAAAGACAGAAGAGAATGAAAGATTATATGTGGAATATTACTGCCTCAACATTTGCCTAAGGTAAAATTGAGGATGTTACAGC